TTCGGATTCGTATCAACCAGCCATCACTTGATTCAAACCCGGTTCATTGGAAGGCGAATGCTCTATCCCCTGAGCCATCGCGGCTCTACCTGTTTATTTTATTTTATATTTTTATAACCGAACCGTCGTTGAACTGCCGATCCAATTTTGGGTTCACGGCTACTCATGTTCAACCCCATAACCTTGAAATTTTGAACCTTTTTCAGAAGACAAGCAGACTCCTGGATCAGTACCCCCAGAGGTATGATTTGTTATGGGAACATAGAGGACTTTGTGACTCAACAGGTTTATCTGTAAACTAAGATGTTAAATACACGCTGCCATTGCCGTTGTTAACGTAAGCGTTATTAAATAGATTAGAAATCTAGCGGAGCACGAACTGCTCCGTTAGATCTTCAATTGAAAACCGAAGCTACACTATTTATTATATTTTTACATGACGAATCAGAAAACCAACATCTACCACTCTGCAAACGCACCTAGTATCAAATTTAACTACTATGATCCAGACAATACTAGATATGAAGTATTCATTGGGACATCTAAACTACAAAATGAACAAGAATTAAAAACAAGGTGAACGTATGTTGCATACTACAACATACAGATTTTCATATTCTTTTGTACAGATATAATCATCAGATAAATTCAAATAGAGCTCTGGCCCATTCTCTTGACAAAATTGCTGGGTAAAACATGGCATTTATCAGAACATCAAAGATTTTTTCTAACTCCCTACTCGGCCTACTAAATGTGTACATTATAGTTAACAAATAATTTCTGACCATCGCAATACAAAACTATCCCTACCCCCAATATTAATCTGAACTGAATTAAAACGCACCAGGATAACGAAGACAGCTAGAAAGCTGATGGATTTACTTACCTGAGCAGCGAAAAAGCGAACATTAACCTTTTCATAAAACCGATCAAGAAAACAATATAAGAAATTATCATTAAAAAAGCAAAAGAAGATTGGGAAACAAGATGCAGCAGCTTAACGATAAGGGTCGGCATACATTCTAGATCATAAAATCAATAGATTCAAGAAAGAAAATCGTGGTATTAATAATTTTTTTTAGAAATGGTGAGGTCCAAGCGTCGAATCAAAATAGAGTGTTCAGTAATATTCAAACTTGTACTAACTGTGGAACAGTGGAGGATTTTGATGAAATGCATACTTCCCGATTTGCAATCAAATCAGGACCTAACCTGCAATTACTTAATTAAATTTTGGAAACTCTAACACATTTCACGAGGAAGAGGAAGCTGTCAAATCATGGAGCTCATGCTCAAAAAAATTTAAAAAACGCTTTCACCATCGCTATAAATAATCGAGTAGAATGCAACTTACTTCACCAAGGTAACCGGAAAATTGACTCACCAAGAGCAAAACAGTTTTTCTAAAGACTGATTGAAGAATTTGAAGAAGCATGGATTTTCGGTCTCTTCTCTTCAGTTGACTAATTAAGTACTGAGCACTCAAGAACTAAATTGTCAAGACTCTAGATTTGTATAGACTAATAAAGGCAATATACATATAAACACGGATATATTTAATAAATAGTAGAATTTGTAAAGGATTTTTTTTTCATTTGTGATTCAAATTTGATTACTTTACATTTGTCATTTTTAAACTTTATACTTATTTCGAAAATATATTGTAACTATTGTTTCTTATAGATAACATAGCTGACTGTATGCAATTAAGTTTGTAACTAAATTTGCATTCTCCGATTGCAATGTTTCCAGAGTGTCAAGGTGTTTATAGGAGCTGGACAAATAATGGGAACACTTTCTCACTAACTATTTTTCACATTTCCCAAGAAATACTTGATGAATTATTAAAAAATAACTTCAGAAGTGCTTAGGTCATGCAATTTCTCATACTTATCAATAACGCTGAAACCCTTTAGAGGTTTGAGGGACCGGTAACAAATTTCAAACGAAAAAGAAAGTATTTTAATAACCTATGCCAAAACGTAGGGAGATAAGCTTGTACCTTAAGTCAATTATGTTGGTTTTTATATGCAATAACTGCACAAAATGTTATAAATTTAGCCTAAATATTCGTGGAAATATGGTTACTCAAAAAAAAAAGTTTTTTTCTTACGTTTCTTACTATGACTTATACTAATTAATAATAAAAATATTTTAAAATTTGAAGAAAAAATTCGTTACGAATTGTGCAAGATAAAGGTATTTCCAACTATCCTTTCACACTACGCATGAGCAAATTGTTTTTCGTCTTTTAAGCTTTGTCTTAAAAAAAATTTAAAGAAAAAGAAATTATATATATATATATATATATATATACCTTGATTAAGTGGATACGACGATATTCTAAATAGCAAATTTAGTTCTTTCTGTATTTATCAGATCTTGCTCAGAGGGTGTAAAAAGGCTCTCGAATAATGTAAGGAGATTAATTTTTTTAAACTTAATTAAGTAATATTTCATTAGAAATAATCAAAATGTTTAGAGAATTTAAGAATGAAAAATTTATTTCATTTAAAACACACAAATAAATACTCTCAATTCTAGATATTGAAACAAAGAACTCATTTCACCAAACATTTTAATTAGACTAATTGAGACAGAATTAATTAGGCAGTCCGATTTCGTTTCAAATATACTAACTTGTGTTAGCTTATTTTTATTTACGTTGTTATGTAAGAGATTCAAAAAATGCTTTTAGTGTCTCTAATAACTTTGATAATAATTTATTACATCTTATTATACTTGCAAAAACTGAAGCAAAATAATGAAACTAGAAACTAATTATTTCTTAAAATGAAATCAGAAATATTATTTAATGAAAAAAGAAAGTTAGGATTTAAAAATGTCTCGTCTTTTTTGTGGTTTCTAAAAGTATATTTATTCAAGTAATTTTTCTTTCAACTATGATGAGATTCTACTTATTTGCCTGTTCATTTTGCCGAGAGGATCGTCATTTTTTAGTACATAATATGCTGATGTTCAATTTTCAGAGAATTTTTATATTGTGTCTGAAACTTCTTAACTGGTGGACGAATTTAAATTAATTTCGGTATAAAGATAGGTTGATTTAATACAAGAAAAATAATATTTCAATAGATTTAAGGCACTCCCATATTCATGAGCAACGACCATCGGAAGAAATAAAGCGGGGTTTACAATTCATACGAAAAAATAAGTTAATTAGGGTATAGACCTCCCCTATTTAATATTAATGATGTACAAGCCCTGCACAGTGGTTTCATGAAACAAATCAAATTTCTAAGATATTATTCCGGCAAATGGTCTCACTCGTTCAAAAAAAATGTTTTGTTCATGAATTTTTGTTGCGAGTTACATTTATCCTCCTTAAATCATCACAAGCAAACTTTATTAGTTTTTGGTTTATAGACCTAGCTGCCCATTCCATACGGAAAATATATTTTACTTTTCAAGAATGCTCTCACTAATTGAGCACTAAGTGGTACAAGTGATTATATATAAAATAAAATGTGGGAAATTAATATATTTATGAAAAGATAAGTATTGGATACTTACACGTCATGCCTCCAAGTTTTACCAGACACGGTACCATGTTCAAAGACATTTAGGGTTATGCGAGCATCCAATATGAGCACTATGATGCACATTCTCGCTAATTGAGCACTATGTGGTACGCGTTATCATTCATAAAATAAAATGCGGGATATTTATATAATTATGAAAAGGTAAATATAGGATTCCTACACGTTATGCCTCCACGTTATACGAGTCACGTTTCTTGTTCAAAGACATTTAGGGTTCTGCAAACATTATTTAAAATATTTATTTTATGAAAATATCCACACCTACGAAATGTTTAATGTCGAAATTACTCAAATTAACCAAACATATTAAACTAAAGATATATAATCAATACAAACTTACTATAGACTCTCAATGGAAACCACTTTTGATTAAATAGAATTATGAGTCAGCAAATCACCAATGTTAAAAAGCATTTACTTAGTCAGCAGACTTTTAAGCAGACTTTTCAGTCTATCATATTCTTTTTTATATAATCTAGTTACTACGAGTGAATTATGGCTACTATTTTTGCATGATATTAATCATTAGTAGGTAGCTAAACATACAGTAAACCAAACAGTTTTGATACTGCTGTTATACAGCAACTTCTTCCGTACATTATGATATGTACAAAACTTGTATCAAACTATACTATTCAATGTTAGCACATCATAAATGGGGATTGAACCAACAAATAGCTTTGGATATCGGCAAATAGCTTTGTCATCTATAAAAGATGGGAGTAGTATATGAATCAACATATCTTGAATTTGCATCTAGCTCTCAGTGGCGTAGCTACCAAGGGGCTAGGCGGGGCAGTGCCCCGGGGCCCTCAAGCTCAGGGGGCCCTCGAATCCTTACCAGAAATCTCGATCGAACTGAACTTTTGGAAATTTTTCCCATTTTCAAAATAAATATGACAGGTTGCAACCCCACTTTAATCATGACAACTCAGTTCAGAGAAATTCAAAAGTTATGCCTAGAGAATTCCCCTAAATTCTTTCTGTAGGTTGGCAGTTAATATTGTATTATTTAAATAAATTAGAAAACTAAAATTATGGATAAAAATAAGAAACCCAGTGGTGCATTTAATCGCAAACAACGCCAAGAAAGAGAAGATAGTAAACAAATATTGCCCAAAATTGACAAGTTTTTTAGTCAGCCTTCTGCAAGTACATCTAGCCAAAATATTTCTATTGATAGGGACTCAAATAATGTGGTAACTGCAGTGTTGGTTGAGAAGTCTACTGAAGAAGATTCGACAATTATTGCAGTTGCACTCCACCGCCGATCATGTGAACGTGGATGATGTTGCATGACACACATAATGAGCAGAGGGTTTGGAGGAACCATAGACCTCTACATTTTGCGAAAATGTGTACGACAAATCTTCTTATGACTTAGGAAACTTCACGAAGAAGATATTAAGTGATAACGAAAAACGTCAAATTCTTGATATGGGGCCTTTAAAGCCTTCAGGACCTTTTCCAACAGACATCAACCAGAACAATAGGTGTTTTTCAAAATCGTACCACGTTTCGTGTTCTAAATATGGGCCAGTTAATCGTTTTTGGTCGTGTTATTCCAAAATACTAGACGCTGCCTATTGTCAACCCTGCTGGTTATTTGCTTCACAAAGGAATAATGTTTGGTGTACGGGAATTCGAGATTGGAAGCATTTATCAGAAAGAATTAAACAACACAGTTGTTCGAGTGGCCATTCGGAAGCATGTGCTGTGTATGAATTTTGGAAAAAAAACGATACTAATACTATCGACAAGGAACTTGAAAATGAAATTCGAAAAGAAGCATCATTTTGGAAAATGGTTCTTCAAAGGTTATTCGATATCATACATACCCTAGCAAAGAGTTCTTTGGCTTTGAGAGGACATCCAGAAGACTTAAGTCAGAAAGGATACCACATAAATTTTCTGTCCCTTGTAGAGCTTGTCGCCCGATATGATTTGGATATGCCCCAAGTTTTGGATATGCCCAAAGGTAATAATAATTATTTCTAAGTTTTTTTATCGTTTTATTTTGTTTATAATTATTAACTGTTTAATATCAGGACTTTTTTGAAATTGTGTTTTTTTTTATGTTTTTAGGATCTACAAGATATCTGAGAGCAACAATTCAAAATGAAATGATTGAGAGCTTGGGGACCAAACTCGAAACCCATCTACTAGAACAAATTAGAGCATCACCGTTTTTCGCTATCATAATGGATACGATAAAGGACATATTGAAGGTAGATCAGCTAAGCATTGTCGTGAGGTATGCAGTAATAACCAGATCGGAAAATGGACAGCCAATTGATATAGAAGTAAAAGAAGTATTTCTAGGCTTTTATGCAGCCATCAAACATGGCGCAGTAGATTTAGTCAACCAAGTGACAACATTATTTATCAACAAAAATATTGATTTAAAAAAATGTGTGGGGCAAGGATATGATGGAGCCAGTGTGATGAGTGGTGTGTATAATGGTGTACAAAAACATATTAAGGATATCCAGCCTAACGCAGAGTACGTACATTGTGCCACTCATAATTTAAATTTGGTGATAAATGATGCCGTTAGAAGTTGTGTGGAAATACAGATTTTTTTCGCAACGTTTCAAGATTTGTATAACTTTTTCGGAAACAGCATCAAACGTTGGGATCTACTGTCAAAATTCACTGGCGAATCGGACACCACTCTAAAAAAACTAAATCCGACTAGATGGTCCAGTAGGGTCAATACGATATCTGCAATAAAACTTCGTTATTTTGATATTATCAAAGCATTATCAGAAATAGTTCTAAAGAGTCCTAATAAAGATGAGCGTAGTGAAGCAGAGAGTATTAAAACAAAAATGCTAAATTTCGAGTTCGTGTTGCTTTGCGAATTCATGCACAGTGTATTGAACGACATCAATTATGCATCCAAAACTTTACAAAAATGCGACATCAATTTGGGCGAGGCGAGTAAAGTTTTAGCAGAGACCAAAGCAAAGTTGCAAATTTATAGAAATGATTTCGAATTATTCAAGTGCAAAGCCAGTGAAACTGCAAGAAAATATGGTATTGATACCCATTTTCAAGAAAAAAGGCAAAGAAAAGTTAAAAAACATTTTGATGAATTAGCTGCTGATCACCGATTTCCAAACCGAGAAAAAATATTTAAAATTGAGATTTTCAATAATGTACTAGACACAGTAATATCTCAATTAGATACACGTTTTATTGGTATGAGTGCAGTCTGTCATATATTCGATTTTCTAACACCAACATTTTTATTACATGTTGATGAAGCAACTTTATTACAAAAGTGTGACGAATTCCAAAGAAAATATTCAGATATAATAGGCCCTAGTTTTTCACTTCAATTTATTAATATTTACCACCTAGTTTTTCCTCAACTAACTCAAGCATGGACTGTTCACCAATTATGTAAGGAAATAATGAGCAAATATGGAGTGCTGGAATGCGACCTAACGGAAGTATTTACAGCAATGTTATCATTCTTTACAATTCCTGTCACTTCTGCAGCAGCTGAAAGGTCATTTAGCAAATTAAAAATAATAAAAAATTATTTAAGAAATAATATGGGCCAAACTCGGCTCCGACATTTATCGTTAATAGCAATTGAAAACGAAGCCGCATCAAGCCTGGATTTAAACGAAGTCATTGATACTTTTGAGGAAACTAAAACTAGGAAAAAATTGTAAATATAATTGTTATTTAGTCAGTTGGTAGGCCCGACCTTTATATAATAAACCCTTGAATCTTCTCTATTTCGTTTTATTAGCCAAACCTACACCAAGTATTAATTGTAATTTATGTTGTTACTGTTTAATATTTTTATTACCTCCCTGCAGTGCACAAAAAAGAGATTTTGTAGCTTAGCATTTTTAAAGTATTTGTATATTTCATATTTTTATTTGATAAAACCTAATCAGTTTGATAAAAAGCAGTGGGGCCCCATTTTTTAATTTGCCCCAGGGCCCTTGGTTACCTAGCTACGCCACTGCTAGCTCTCCCCCTCTTTTCGCGAATATTCTCCACCAATTTATATTTTAAGCCGTAGAATTTTCTTACTTACAACTTAAAGGAAATTGAATCAATTTTAAACATTTATTAAGTTAAATAAGTTGAATGTTTTAACGTACTTTCAGGAAAAAACATCAAAAGAGTTATTTTTCAGAAAGTTGTTCCACTAACTGCTTAAAAGCTTAAACTGTGATCACTAGTTTTTAAATGCAATTTGATTTGTTTCTAATGTCAAGTGACAGGATTTTTTAAAACTTACTTAAATAATCTAATAGAAAATTATTATATTTCATAATAAATATTTGATATATATTTATATAATATTTACAGATTTCAAGACAAGTTTTTGAGAATTATAAAAGAGTTAACTCGAAATACTTTTTATAACTATTCAAATGTTTTTAGTTGCAGGATAGCGTCCATCTATAAAATTTAAGAAAGAAAAGGTTCAAGCATCCAAATCCTTTTCATAACACAAAAATCTTCACTGACTTACTTGCGCCATCTACCGAGGAATACACAAATTAAAAGATTCATAAAATTTCTTAAGTTGAAGTACTGAAAATATTAATACAGAATTTATGCATGAGTTCATTCTAAAGATAAAACATTTTCATTTTGATTTTAGAACTATTTTGTTTGGATTATTCATTTCATTATTGAGGCACACATATTCCTTGACATTTATAGACCGTTTTAGAAACAATATTTTCACAGTAACAACGAAAAAATAAAGGCAACGAAAAAATACAAATTCAAACCTTTTGTAGCCTTTAAAGCTTTAAAGGCTTTCTAACTCTTAAATCAGCATTTTATATCTGATAGAATTTTGCGAACAATTTTTACAATTAAAGTTTGCTCAATTAATACCATGGGCAACCGGTGATTGTTCTACAAATACCATAAATTAAAAATAGTTTGCTTTTAACTGTTACTTTCTGTATAGAAAAGCTACTAACATTGCCTATTATGTGTCAGATTAAATATATTCCAATTATAAACTGGGAGCATAAGTTGTATTTTTAAATTTATTGATATAATAAACTACTTTGTTTATTAATTCGAAAATTTAACAAAAATACTTCATTAAATTAAAAAAATAATAATAAAACACTAAAAGTAAGTATTTTTTTTCTTTTGTACTCATCACATTCTTGATTGAAAGGATTTAATAAAGCATAATTTTTATTAAATTTTTTTTATATTTTATTAATTTATTATATTTTTGATTTTGTATTTTGACGAAAATTTATATATATATAGATATAATATGAATAAATTATATGATTATTTCGGCTATTGTGTAAGTAGTTTCTTTTACCTTCAAGGTTAATATATTCCTCGATTCAGTAGAAAATACTTCAAAGTAAGGAAGTTTTTCAACTTGATTGAACACCTTTAATGTAAAACATATATTATAAGAAAATTGAATTGTTCATCAAGAAAAAGATTTTTTTTTTCTTTCTTTTAATTTGTGTTGTCAAAATGTGAATGATTAGTTATAATTTTTCTCTTTGTTTGAACAAAATTAGACTCATAATTTCAATTTAAGGTTTAGAATTTAGGATTTAAATAAACAATTCGGCGTGCACATATGATTTAACGCCGATGCATTTTATGAATGTGGATGAACTGATGCTGTGTATTTTATTAGTGTTTATTAATATGACGATTGAATACAAATTACAAACCTTAAACACGTTTGGAAAGATATTTAATTTTAATCTACAACCCATTTTTATCGAAAATAACAAGCATAAATAAATTTAAGTAATATTTTAAGTAAATGACTTTTTTAAATAAGCAATTTATATTTTTAAATAACTTTGGAGTTATTTCATGGTTTTGTCTTGCATATTATGTATAAAATCAGTTAATAAATGTGTAAAAAAATATTTTGCAAATAAGTATCTGTATTTAACATCTCGAAATATCAAATATGATTAGATAAATTTACTTTTAATCATATTGATAAAAAACTGTAAAATTATAATTTCCAATTGTCTTTTTTCAGTGGAATCACCCTTTTTCATTACTTAAACTATTATGCGTCATTTTTTAGATTTATGCTGACTTGTACAATCATGATTCTTTTTTTCATTTTTACAGATCACATTTTATTTAGCTATTTGTGTTAAAGAAATTTCAATTCTTTGGACTGTCACACACACTAGATGGCAGCATTATGTGAATCGCTAGATTTTACTTGACTTAAGTAAAATCATTTTCGGAAATAGATCTAAAGGATTTATTTAAGTAGATATCCTTAAAATAATGTATAGATATTAAAATAATATAAATTCAGTTTTGTTTTTTAAAATAATATAGCAATATCATATAAGTCAGAAGAAAATGTATTGACGTAAAAAAAAAAAAATCAAGTATGATAAACAAGTTCACGTTGATGAGATCATTATTGTTTAAATAAATACTATACAGATACGTATATACTTTAAGAACAGCAGCAGTGGCATTCATCTTGTTTACATATCTACACCATTTCTCCGAGTCCTTGGTTTCTTCTTTTTAACCAACCTCAAGAGGAAAAAAAATTCAAATTTAATTAGAACTAAAAGCATAGAAAGCAACTAACTATCAAAAAAACTATCAAAACGTGTTACAAAAAAAATTATTTTTTAATTGAATAAAAATATTTTACAAAACTTTTAATTCTTTTTTTAAGCAATATTCGCTAAAAGAGATATTAACTGTTTAATTTACCTATAAAATACAAACTGTCAATTAATTATTTTTGCACATATTTTGATTTATTCTAGTTAAAAACGAAATTAAAGTTTCCAGAAAAAAGCCATTCCCGCTTTCCGAACAATCCGTAGAAATCTTTTAAAGTATAAATAAACTTTACAAAGTATAAACAAACTAAAGTATAAATAAATCAGTACGGCGAAACACTACGAATTCATGTTCAAAACTAACATACCGACACAATTAAAGAGAGCTCGATGGAAGAACCTGGCAAGTGACATTTTCGAGAGAAATAATGAATTGGAGAAAATAACATAAAGTGGTTGCATCAATATGGGTTTGTTTAATGTAACCGAACTGTTTTTGCCATTACATTAATTTAAACATAACTAATCCACATTGGTTTTTAGTTTGCTTGCATTGTTTTTGCTTCAAATTTGACAGTGGTAAATAAAATAAAGCAAATAATTACTAGTACCACCTTCTAATAAATTGGTGATAAAGTAGTTCAGATACAACATTTTTCTTCGTTTCGGAAATGTCACTTCATGGTCCTTCTACTGAGTTTTCCGATTAATATAGCTAAAATAATTTAAATTAATGTAGCTAAATTAGTTAATATAGCTAAAATAATCAATTTTGCTGCAATAATGTTTTATTTAATGTTATTTGTTGCCTTTTTCTGCTGCTTTCAAACATTGAAATAAGCAAAATTCTCATTAATATGAAGATATATCCCCCATACCATTAGAATAAAGATAAAATGTATTTAGGCTCAATTGGCATGATGCTGTTGTTCGTGACCAACTCCTGATAGTCACAATTTACTACTGTCAAATAATTTTCTCCGGTGCATATCTTTTTCGAGGGGACGTAAAACACTTATTTCCAAAGTTCGATAAAAAAAAAAACTGCTTATTATTGGTGCAGTTTTGATAATCACCAAATTTGTCAATATAATATTTTGTACTTATAATAGTACATTTAGTACATATTACATAACCCTTCAACGTTTTAGTCCTTTGCAAAATACATTTGTGAGGGACAGTCAACTAAAGCCGAAATTTATTGACCTATAAAAAGCTTATTTGTTTTTGTTTGTTTTTTACTTTGGAGCACAACCATTTCTCTATCGGAACTCTACTTTACTGAATTGAATCGAATGCCTGGTTTAATGGCGCAAAATTCAAAGGAGGATATACTACGCCAAACAATACGTTAGAAAAATCAAAAGATACAACGTACTTCACAATTTTTATCTTTATAAAATACATGAAGGTTATAAAACAGTTAATAGCGAGACAAGTATATTTAAACGTCGATAAAATCCGATAAAAGGCGTAATTATAAAAAATACACTAACGTAACGGGATAAATAGTACATCTGTAATAAGTAAAAGCTAAGAAAATCAGGTAAAACAGTTATATACAATATAAAATAATACCAATAGCTCTCCGAAATGAGAAAATATTAGCCTAATGAATTTCACCTAACAACTCTTTGATAAATAACTTGAGGAACTCCTTCAGCTAGAATGAAAAGATCAAAAAATGTAGCCCTCAGTTTTACTCGAAAATATCATTTCGACCGAAACTTATTTTGGAGGATGGGTAGATTTCCACGATGTCCCATGTAGTAGAGTGTCTTTAAAATTATATATCGCCATGTTCGATCATACGCCTTCTCAATATCAAAGAAGATAGAGACAAAATGGTTATGTCGGACAAAGGCGTTAGGGGCTCGTGACTATAGATCAACAATGATATCAACTGTGGATTTTCTCTTACAAAAATCGCTCTGGA